CAGGTTATATACATAAGAGGAGATGTGTAGTGACGTTTCAAAGGATGCTGATTATTGTGATCTTCCGCTATGAAGTTGTGTATAATGAAGAAATTGTACATAGTTCTTAGATTTTATTTTGTTTGGGTTTATTGTATAACATGTTCCATTGTTGTATTTAGTTGGGTTAGTACCAATAATTAACACTTGTGTTGAAATTTGGTGTTTTAGGGTATGAACATAACCTTGAGTCTATGATTAAATGGCGAATTAAGGTGTTAATCTTTGTGAAATTAACATGTTCAATGTTATATATTATGTGAATGATGAATTATGTGCAATTGGGTGTTTTGGAGATCGAAATCAGAGCTTAGGAAGTGCTCAAATGGTGAATATCGCGTTTTTATGTTTATGTACATTGGTAACCGGTTAATGCATTGTTGTTTCCGGTTACAACTGAAGCTGATAAACTTTTTTCTGAAATTTTTGTCACTAAAACTAGTTACGAGTTTTGGTTAACCATTTACAACTGTTGTGTTCTCCAGAAATGTTAATTTTTCATTTCCAACTATTTTTGTCGTGACTTTAGTTTAATGACTCAGATTGAGGCGTGGTTTGAAGCCTTGGAAAGCTAACACACCAAGCTACATTATGGTAGTGCCTTGTGAGATGAATTGGCATGTTTGATTGATGTATGGATGCATGTTCAATGTGTGCATAAATGTTGTGAATTATATGCATAACCGTGTGAATTATTGTACATGCTTAATGATGAATCAATATTAAGATGATTTAACATGATTGAGTGTTGTGTGTAGATATGTATTTGATGTGGAGTTGTTATTGTGAAATTTAAGTTTAATTAAGTGATTTATGGTACATACTTGCTGACAATTTATGAGACACGTAGTTCAGGTGAAAACTACTGGTGACACATTGAATACATGATCATTCACAGTGAGGGCGGGGATGTACTTGTACCTATGTGGTTGTTGTTGCATGGTGGATTATGATAAGAGTGAGGTTGTATTCATTGCTATTTTTTTGTTATTATTGTGTGATTGTTTATAGTTAGAGTGAGGCTATATTCATTGTTGTGTTATTGTCATTGCAGTGTTATATGTCATGCATCATATGTTTTTGTTGTTATGAAAAAGGCGAGTCACAGGTTCATAGCGGGGACTAGTGACTTGTCCCAAGCGCATGATGGGGTCTTGGAGCCTAGAGTGGAGGCTCAGGGTTGAGAGAGGGGAACATGGTTTGTATGAAGAACCAAATGTTGAGTCAATGTCGCATGCATGTAAAGTTAAGTTGTGAGTTCAGTTCAAAGTGGGGACTGTGACGAGCATAAGTTGAGTCGATGTTGCAATGCATTACATGGTGGTTGTGCAAATAAGGTATTTGTGTGATGACGAATACTCTTGTATGATTTATGTGAGTTTGACTGTGATGTAGGTGAGATGTGAATGCATACATGATTTTGAGGTGCATATTTGATATATGTAATGACTATGTAATGTGTGAATCCATCCTGATTGTTTTATGCACCATTTATTGTTTGAATATATTCTCACTCCTTTTTTGTTGTTGCATTTGTGCTCATCTGAAGTACATATAATCAAGTACCTGAGTAGGAGCTTGATGTTGAGGATGTTATTGTGCCTCTTTAGTTGCTTGTTGATTGATTCATATAGTTGGAGTCACTCTGATATGTAATACGATGGGAATAATATTTTCTTTTATTATGATTATGTTGCATATCTTGTCATTTATTTTGATGTTGAAGCACTTTTGAAACTTATGCTTGTTGAGGCTTTTATGCCGACTATTTTATAATTTTCGCTACTATCAAATAATTTAATTTTCTAATATATGGTTCATGCATATTTTGTTGATGTTTGAGTAACATTCTACTTGAAGGATTAATGTATTATACATGTTTTATTTAATTATTTGTCGAGTCGGAAAGTAGGATGATCTTATCGGGATCAGAAGTTCAATCAACGGTCAGCAACACGTCGTGAGCTTCAAGTTCGTCGGTGACAGAGAAGAGGAGGGGGTGTACCTGCAAGACACTCTGATGGCAAAGTAAGATTCTGAGTGAAAAGAGAGAGCAAGTACAAAATGAGTTTATAATACCTGACCCTCCTGTGGAAGAGAATATTTATATTGTGCCCCTAACGTTGGGCCAACGATCATCTGCTATGGGCTGGATCGTAAGGCCCATAATGAATGACTGCCAAGATCCTACGTGGAAGTAGGGAAGACCAGCATGTGATCTTCATCCTGGTCAACTGTCCCACGAACTCCGAAAAATGGATAACTTGTTCTCGAGGGCGTGGGTTTTAGTTAGTGATGTGTTCCAGCGTGAGGAGCACGTGTGAAGAACGTGGCCTCCAACGACTATGGAGGATTGTGCCTGTGTTGGACCCTCCTCAATGCGGAGCTGGACTGGGTTGTGCCCGACGGTGGGCTAGCCCCAGACCCAGTCCAAAACATAGGATGTTACAATTACTCCACGAGAGTAGAATAGACCGAGCCAATAAAAAAGACACCATATTCACCATGTCTCCACCAGCACATGTCAAGATCTTAAGATAAGATCACATCTCAAAACAAAAGGAAAAGATTACTGACAATCTCCTATTTATACACAAAAAGAGGCATCCTTCATCTAAAATCCCAATTAATCATCCCATACATCCAACCCTAACATCAACAAAAAACTTACCAATATGACTAGAGACATTGTAAAGCCTAAGAAATCTGATCCTTAAAGGAATAGACCCTACTTAAGGGTCGTCCCAAAAAGAGGTAAAAATACCATTACCCACTCTTATACGAAGACCATCCACAAACTAATTAGTTTGATCGCCTAATTTAGAACCCAACAAAATCAAATCTTTGCATCAGATAAAATATACTCAAGTATAGGAGGATCAACCCCCCAAGAATGAACAAACATTATTGGATCCATATCTGACATATAAGATATCTCCCATAAACTTGTCAAATGGTTAATGTTTATAACTGCACACAAACAATATTATAATTATGTTAAAAACACGAGAACACTCTCATCTAAGCAATGTTTGTTTTGAGAGAAATTGACGCAAGAGAAGTTGAAGAGAGAGTTATGTGAGAAATTGACTACTTCTCCTTTTTGGATGATCGATGAGGTAGGAAAGAGAGATTAAAAATCTTGGGCTCCACCACTTTTTCTTTTCTCGCCTGATATACGAAGAAAGACTAAGATAGATGATATTTAGAGTCTCTTCCTCTTTTACCCATTCAATCTAGCACCCATCAATTATATTGAAAAGCGAAAACGCGTGTATGCAAACTTGTTTAAAATACTCTCTCTGTTTTAAAATGACTGACGTTTTACCAAATAATATTTGTTTCAAAATACATGTCATTTTCACTTTTTAATATAAAAATGATTGTTATTTTTTCAACTATGTCCTTTAATTATTACTATTTATACTACTTCCAATGTATCAATATGATTAATTTAATAAAAGTGTAACATATGATAATATCATTGTATTTCTTAATCTGTATGCAAAAGTTTTAAACGATAGTCACTTTAAAATAGAGACAATATAAATGAAGATAATTTTGTTTTTTTTAACGTAATAATGAGTGTGTGCTGTTATTTTAATTTATTAAACAATAAATAAATGAATACGTTATATTAATTTAAAAGATTAATTAAATTAAGAAATAGTATAATATCCAAGTAAATTAGTTTAAATAATTGAAATACTATAATTTTAACTAATGCTAATTTAAAATTTTATTAGATAATTATTTATATTTTTATTAAATAAAAAATATATTTAAATTAATGTTGATAGAAATGTTTCCTAAATATTTAAAAAAGGTGATATAAAATATATTTTAAATATTATAAAATAGTATATTAATTTTTTCTTTTTTAAATTTAAGAGTATACTTGTCCTTACAAAAATAAATACACTTCTTTCTCTTTTATTTCTCTTACACTTCTCTTATACCGAATAATATATCAAATTTTGGCATAATTACACCCGTGTTATTTAATTATAATGGCCCTTAAATTTTTTTTTTTGCTACAAGTCACTCATTTAAGTTACTCAATGTTTATAGCATTGCCCTTTTTAATGATTTTGTTCAAAAAATAATTATGTGACACCCACACTGTTGATGTGTTAATTAACGTTGCTGATATGAATGAAATAGTCAATCCACAATTGTCTCTCCAATAAAACCGTGACACACAACTTTTGAAGAGAATAGGTTTAAATGTTGGCGTTGCTTTTTTTATCACATGTAAATCTATGTTGTTATTGAGTGCGGGAAAAAAGAAAAAAAATGAACTTTTGAATAACTATTTAAAGATAAATAAAATAAAATTTTATGTCAGTATTGTTAATGACACATTGCAATGTTAGTGCCATATAATCATTTTTGGAGCAGAATCTTTAAAAAAAGCATAGATAATTTAAAAGACTGACTTGTAAAAAAAAAAATTTTAAAGACCAACCAATTACAATTAAATAACTTAAAAGTCTCAAAATATAATTATACATCTTTCTCTACTCTCATATTCATCTCACAACCAAACACACCTCTAATCTCACAAACCTTGTTGAAAAAAATAATCATGTTAAGTAATATATTTTTGGGTTAAATACAAACACTCCTGCAGTTTCAAAAATTATTTTTGATTTTTTTTCTCTCATCTCTAAAACAATTAACTTCCACTCTTAACCATTACCCACTGACCCGGCAGTGCAACCCTAGACCCGGGTCAGACCAGACTCATCAATCCTCGCAATAACTTCCACACACTGCCTACGTCTTCGTTCTGAGACCTCGCCGCCGCCGTTCGTCTTTCCGTTCCATCACCGTCACCTCTCACCCTCGTTCATTCATTCCTGTTCTTCTCCAATTCCGCTCCATTCGCGCGCGCCGCCACCTCCTTGTCCCTGACGATAACCTTCTCACACTGAAGCTTCACCTACAACTCTTTCACTATGGCTTCAGCACACATCAGAGACATTCTAACCGCTTTCAATCCTTCTCTCGACTTCTTCGCCATAACCACTGGTGACGGCCGAATTAAGGTATCCTCCCATTTCATTCTCTTCATTTTACGCTTTCCACAACAGTATTTGCCACTTCACCATTTTTTTCTCTCTGCAATTTCTCTTTATAGATATGGGATACACTCAAGGGTCAAGTACAGACCGAGTTCGCGGATTTCACTTCAACTCATGATACTAATTTATTTGATACAAAAGGACACCTTTCTGTTGATTACACATGTATCAAATGGTTATCTTTTGAAAAAAAGGTACCTAGGTTTTGTTTTTGTTTTGGAGTGTTTTTTTTTGTGGTAATATTCATGAATGATTCTTTGAATTATTTTATTTGCAGAAGAAAAGGAAACACTCTTCCTCTTTGTTGGTGCTTGGAACTGGTAGTGGTGATGTTCTAGCACTTGATGTTTCTGCCGGTCAATTGTCTTGGAAAATTAATGATTGTCATCCTGGGTAAGACATGAGACTGTCTTGTGATTTTACAGTATTTTAATGGATATTAATAACTCTAATGTTTTGCACTTTGTGATAATGATTGAATACTATGGGATGATAATTTGAAATGATGGCAGTATAGCACCAACACCTTTGAAAAAAGGCGTGTCAGTGTCAATGTTAGTATGAGTGTCCAAAACCGACACGGACACTTGTGATTAGGTTTAATTTATTCATTTTTTTCCTTCAAATTATTAGTTATTACTTGTATTGACATGTCAGTGTTGTTGTCATGTTTCTAGTGTCTGTGCTTCATAGACCGTAACCATGGTTAATTAAATGAATGTGATTGATGGGTTTAAACTTTGAATTCCTTGTTGTTATATGACAAGTTAATTTTTGTTTACGTTATATTGCCTTTTTTTTGTCTTTCTTACTATTCAGTTTGACTGCAGAGGTGTCAGGGCCATTTCGTCTTTGGCAAATGGATCAACCTTTTATACTTCAGGTGCGGACGGAATGATATGTGCAATAGATTTCACAACTGGAAACCTGCTGGAGAAGTTTAAAGCTTCTTCGAAGGCAGTGACTTCTATATCAGTCTCTCCGGGTATGTATCCTTTGTGGATATTACTGAATTCTTATTTTTTTAAATATGTGGGCAGGACATGAAATCACTGATTGCTGTTGGGATACTAACCAAATCGATCTCCATGTCTGAATTGTATGCGACATGTTGTATAGTTTGGTTGAGGTTCCATGAATTATTCTTTTACCGTATTGTGCATTTTAATTGACAATAGCATTGCAATTTTAATTATGCAGTCCGTCTAGTTTCGCGTATTCTACTTTTGTTATTATCAGAATGAAACGGTTCATCTTTTTGATCCATGTTTTGTTGATTGGATGTTAAATTATAGGCAACATGTCCTGGTCAGAAGGGCTTCAGTGAGGCATGATCATGATAAATCTGCAATGTGTAGTTAATATTAAATATTACGAGGATGATTTCTGATTTAATTTCCCTTTTACTTACATCAGATGGCAAGACATTAGCTACTGCAGCAGCACAATTGAAGATTTTTAACTCTTCTAATAAAAAAAAGATTGAAAAATTCTCTGGTCATCCTGTAAGTTTCATATGTTGTTCATTTTCTTTTTATATACTGTGATCATACCTTGTTTTTTTTGTCTTTATACTAATTGTTTTTAATTTAACTATCAGGGATCTGTCCGGTGTATGGTCTTCACCGAAGATGGCAAGTATATTCTTTCGACTGCCGCTGCTGAAAGATATGTTGCTGTTTGGAAATTAGATGGCGCTAAAAAGCAGTCCGCTAGTTGTGTTCTTGCAATGGAGCACCCTGCTGTCTTTCTTGATAGCAGGTGCATTGATAAGGGAGAACACGATGAGGCTGGCTTGTGTGTTTTAGCCATATCAGAAGTTGGTGTTTGTTATTTATGGTTTGGAAATAGTATTGAAGAACTACGAAATGCAAAACCCACGAAAATATCATTATCATTGGAAGATATGTCCACCAAAAATTACAAAGGCGCACTCCCTGCAATATATGCTGCAAAATTACGAAGCATCCAGAAGCCGGCCTCTGGGCAGGTTTTTCTTGTTTCTGGAATGCTTGTAAAACCATCTTTTCAAAATATTCTATTGCACTCTGGGACAGATGTGAAGTTGAGTGTCTCCCGTGATGGAGTTCTTCTTCCAATGAGTCAATCTCTTATCAAATCTAAGAGGAGGACAGATGTACAAAGAGGCAAGACTTTCTTTGCCTTTGACTTGCTCTTTCTCACGAGCTTTAAGGATTAACCATTTCAAAAGCTAAATCTATTGGGTGGAAACTCAAACCGTTTTATATTTCCTTCAATTTCATTTTATTATGCCTTGTTTGTTGCTCATAATCTTGTTATTTGATTATGTTAACCATTTTAAATTTATCACTTAAAATAAGTTGATATTGTTTTAGTAATTGATTCCTGATCCAATTTTAGTTACTAACTGGTGTTCTATATTCTGACAGTAACTGCACTAGATCGTGCTAATGCCGAGGATGCCTTGCTTCCAATTCCTAAAGTTTTTGATTCTCATGAGAAAGATAAATCATTTCAAGTCACTTCGGACAAGGATGTAAAGGACGATTTGCTTACAAGTGGCACTGATTCCATGGAAATAGATGGTACTAATAAGTTTATCATATTTTATTATTGGATATAGTAGCATTTTTATTGTTTTTGGAAACAATATCAATTATTTCAATGACTGGATGTATTCCTTTTGGCTTGTTATATTTTTCTGCTAAAGATAGAAATATTAATGTACCTTGTTGACTTCTTCGAATTTGTATTTGTGTATTTTGTATAAATTTTTTACTTATACTTTGTTAATAGTCTTTTAAAAAATTCTCGAGGACAATCTAATGAATAACAATGTGTTTTTACCATATGCTGGCTTAAAAGCAATCTAATTTGTAATGATGACCCGTGTTCAACCTCATCAGTTATTTGATTTAAAATGAATTATAATAACTGAACAATAAAGCACCTTCTATTGAGTGATCTAATAATTTTTATGTTAACAACATATTTTTGGTCTTTCTGTTACAAAATCATGAGATTGAATTGGTTATGGTTAACAGCATAACTAACCGTAAAATACCTTTCTGCATATTCACGCTGCTCAGTTAATAACAGAAGATGGATTGGCACCTTTTTTTTCTTCCTGCTTTTCATAATCTGTTTACAATCTGTGCAGATGGTATTGTCGAGAGTGAGACTGATGTAATTAGCATGGAGGACAGGATGAGATCATTAGGATTGCTTTACAGCGAGAGTGATTGTGCATCAAATTTTGAACTTTGCTCTAAATTGTTAAAGGGTATTGATCTAGAAGCCACTCTTCCAAAGAAAAAGGTTAGTTATGAGTCAGAGTGGTTCTCTTCTGATATTAATTTTGGTTCCATCTGTTCTGTTATCTATTTGTTTTTTGATTTGTTATCATTATAATATGTTTGTTATCTATTTTTTTTAAGAATCACGGGTAATTGTTTATGCACATAACTTTAAAATACATTTATCAGGTAAGAGCAGCTGTTTTGTCTATGGAACCAAGTGAAGCATTCAAGCTACTAGAAGTGCTGTTGGTTATATGGCAATCAAGGTTTATTTTCATTTCTTGTACTTTCTACTGTAAGGTGTTTTGCATATGATAGAATGTTTTCAATTTCCACCTGTTAAATGACCAAAAGTTATCTAGGATTTATGTAGACCCTCTGTTCTGTAGAGTTATATTCTTATAATTGGAGTTTATTCCTGTCTTCTTATTGGTGGCTCATCAATGTAATTCAATTCATTGAGGCCATTCTAGTTCCTGAGAATCATTGTCAAAAAAGTATAAGTTCCTGAGAAGCTATTGCAGGTTGCTGCGCTGACATGGGGAGGGTGCTCTCAGTTTATTGTCTTAATAGAAAGACAGCGACCCAAATGCCGCATGGGGGACCTTTGAGAAGGTGGTGCTCTCAGTTAAAAATTCGAGATCTTGGGAGCAGGAAAACATAAATGATGATGAAATTTCTAAAGATCAAGAACCATTTTGTTGGAAGCAAAATAGATATGTTAAATAGAACAGCATGATAATCAAGGCTTCATATGGTTGATGCCTCTTATTGCACTATTTTCAGTTTGTCATAGAGATCACATATTTTATTTTACAGTTAGATGGCATGTACTTGATAACTGAACTTTATAATATTTTTTAGTATTTAATTTTCCAAGAATGGCAATATTCATGGACTTGTTACTCTTGACTTTGACTTCATAAATAAATCTTTATCGACAGGTCATCTAGCAGGGAGTCTGTACTTCCATGGATGTACAGCATAGTAGTTACTCATGGTCATAATGCTGCTGAAGAATCTGCAACACATATGCTTGATACGGTGCACAAGGTAATCATGGACTAAGTTCTCTTTCTCATACATGCTTGGTATTGGCAACTCAATTTTAAAATTTCAACATGAAGCTCAAATATTTATTATAATTCCTCTAATTTAGGTCCACATTTTCTGCCATTATTCCTACTTGTGAAATTGTGATGGATGCTTCATTACTGTCCTAAGTTGATAGGTGTTTCTAGTTGTAAATGTTTCATTATATGGTTAAATTTGTAAATGTTGTGAAATTGAAAAATAGTTAAATTGCGAGTTTCATTATATGGTTAAATTTGTAAATGTTTCTAGTTGCAAGACTTGAAAAATAGTGAAATGGCCAACGGGTTGGTTAATTTAACAAGGTTTATGTTGACATTGTTTTATGAAGCCTTGTTGGCTAATTAATATTATCGGTGCAAACATATCTGAAAGGAATTATGCCTTTATTTCATAATCTTTTGTTTTTTAAAAAAAAAAATGCATGTCTACATGTTTGTTTACATTTTCATCAAATGGTATCAAACCATTTGGTAACCCAATATTATGGCCGGGATCATTTCTGTGGTCAACATAACCTAACTCCAACACCTAACATTGCTTAAAGTGCATTGAAGTTGCTTATGCACTTCTAGTTCGCACATTTCCCGCTTAAGAACCAAGCTTAAAAAGGGCATTATAAATTATAATGTTTTTTTCGAAATAATGTCCGTCTAACCTTTTCTTTGGAATAAGGATTTAAACATGATTTAAAAAGCTAGTAAATCATCTGATTATATTTTATTGACAATTGCTAGGAATGCCCTTTCCAACACTTATTCTTTTATTGAGTGAAATCAATGTAGGTCCTATATAAAGTCGGGGGACCCACACAAGTTTCACCCAATAAGAGAGGAGTGTTGGAAAGAGAGTGTTACAACTCTTCTCTATTTTATTCACAAATTTTGTGATGGAGCATTGTATAGAAGTTAAATTAAGATATGGATGACGAATGTTGGTATAAGTTTTGCATTGATTGGTAATTTTTGTTGAATAATTGTTTTAAATATACATAGAGTTAAGGTTATTCTGATGACTTTCTTGTCTAGCTTGCCTCTTAAGGTCATTCTGGCTATATAGCTTTACTAAGATAAAGCGTACTGTTTGAGAATTTCAGTTTTTGCCCTCCACTTTTCAGATTACTAGTTCCAGAGCGACAACTCTTCAGTCTTTGTTACAATTATCAGGTCGTCTACAACTGGTGACATCACAGGTATATTCACTTTTTCTAAAATTAATTTGGCCATCTGAGGAATGTTATTGGTTTTTTGGCCTCATTTGAATATGCTTTCAGATTGATAAGGCCTCTCAGAAAATAAGCCATCCGGTGAATGATCTCCAAACAGAAGAAAGTGAAGACGAGGATGAGTATTATCACGAGGATGACGACGATGAAGAAGATGATGCATCCGAAATAAGTACTGATGATGAAAACTAGTCTTCCTTTTAATGCACGGTATTACATATACAGAAGTTCTCATTTGTTATGCAATAGCTTTACAAATATTTGCAAGGGAGTTAAATCTAGAGTTTAAGGATATACAATTTTACCTGGAGTCAGCACTCAGGACCAATCTTGAAACTCAATACCAGGATTTAGTATGAAATGTCTAGATATGCTTAAATTGTTGCTGATATTTTAACTTAGATATTTATTATATTGTATCATGAAACTCAATTCCAAGCTATTATGTAAGACCATATATGCTTAATGATTGGAGTTTTTTTTTATATATACAGATTACGAGTTCCGAATTCTCCCAATTGATGCTAACGAAGATTTGGAGGAATAGAGAATAGATACTGGATTCCAACCAGCTTTTTGTTCACAATTTTGTTTACTTAGAAAATTTTGGTTATTCAGATTTGTTAAAAAAAACAACCCTTAGATTATGTAATTTGATTTGTCAAATCAAATAGATTGTGTAATTTGAGATTTTATTGATTAATAGAAGAAATACATAATTGTAGTTCATGTGTATTGTTACATGAGGTCATGCTCAAAATACTCCTTCTCAAGAATATGTCCTCCCTATTAAAAAATACTTTTGCATGCATGAAATGGTGATTAAAAGCAGGGCATGTATGAAAAGATCATTTAAGTTCCCCTCTTCCCTCTGGCATACATGTTACATGCGTGCATTCTTGCATATCAGTTCTTAAACATAGCGAATTGTGATGATAGTTATATTTGTGGGTGTTAAATCCTTGTTAGAAAATATGCGTTTCTGTATTACCAATCCAGGAAATTGCATATTTACATTAAAATTACCTAGAAGAAAGGAATAATGCAGTATTTACATTAAAATTACCTAGAAGAAAGGAATAATGCAGTACAAGTTATTCTTCAGCCCGGAAGATAGGAATATTGTTCTCGTTTTCCCTTCTCAAGACAATTTAATACTATTTTTATTTTCCACCTAAATTTCTAGTGTTATCATGTTACAGTATTGGAAAGTAAATTAAACCTTTACTTCTCATGAAGTGTCTCTCTTCTCTTCTCTATGTTTTAACACTATACTAGACTATTGTACATGCATTTGGATTGTCATCGCTGAACATGGCTCCAATGTCTATGTCTACATTGTTGTTATTGTAAACTCCGCTGTAGTGCTCCATATAGTTGTATTGTGTGTGCCATGATGATGATCTCACACATTCATATTCAGTAACATAAGATGATGGCATGTATGTATTATAACTATGCGTGACATTCAATGGTTGGAATCCAGATGACTCTGGTAGGAATGCAGGGCCATTATTGTATCGTCTGTCCCTAACACAGTTGTTGCCAGAACTAAACCTGTTGACATAGTTCAGCCATGTAGGTTGATGACAGCGTGTCAGATGAACCTGTTCTACATCTTCAGTTTCTGTATTGTTCTGCCACTGTTGTCTAGCATTGTGCTGCGTCATATGAACCTGTTCTACATCTTCGCTTTCTGGATTGTTCTGCCACTGTTGTCTAGCATTGTGCCATGTAGGTGTTGGCAATGAGGGTGTTGCCTCAAGCATTGGTTCAGGAGAGGAGGTACTGCGAGCTTGTGGTGTTGCATCTAGGTCTGGTGCATTTGGATTTGGTTTTGGTTTTGGTTTTGTTGCTTTAGATGAAGATTTTTCAATATCAGAACAAATAATAGTGGCATTCTTCCTTGCCTTGTTCTTAATTGCTTTTACAATTTTTTCTGGATCCGCCCATCCAATAATTGTTAGCCTTTGTCGATCCAAGTCGATACGAAGATCATGTATACCTGCAAAACAGAAAGTTCATAAAATAGTTATAGGATCATAGTGCATCTTTTAGAAGGAAAATCATGTCAAATTAACATATACCTACCGTTGATGTCATTGAGTGCTTTCTTGATCTTCTGCGCGCATCCGTTACAGTCAACTCGAACTTGTATCTGCGTGATCCGAGATGTCTGCATTTGATGCTTGCCATAATTAGTCACAAACAAAAAAAAAATCATAAAAACTTGTCACAAAGTTATACCTGGATTTGTAGGGCCTTACCTGTGACTCCTGAACCATGGAGAGCTGTAAAGTTAGAAAAATCAAGAAATGTTGCTTTTATTAATAAGTAAATCATGGATGAAGAATATTTGAATGGAATACATTAGAAATATGTAAGGAATATGTAAAAGGCAAGATATGTGAAAACACAAAAAGGCATATTTGGAAGTGCAGAGAGAGAGACATGTATATATACCTTACTTTAACTTGACATTTTTCCATATATACTTCATAATGTTAAAATACACCTTGTTTTGACAAAGAAGTTTTTGATAGAAGTTGCATGAATGAACATGATTTGCACTGTCTAGATAATTAGAGTATGCAGAAACTCAATGATAAAAAAGGTAAAATCAAAAGCTCTTATATTGAAATGTTCAATATATAGTTTCCAACTTATTGTACAAATATATTTGCCAAACCACTCTTATCTAGCCATTTATGGCCACAAATATCTTAAAGACTTATTAATGAATTCATCTCTTAGCAACCATTCTAAATGTCCCTATAATTTGGTTGCACAAAATAAAAGAAAAAACAAATATAAATTTGAATATCATCTATGATACATGTGATATGTAGTAACAAATAAAGAATCAAGCATAGACTTGTGGATTTTCCAACAGATAAGACTCCACAACTTTGTAAATTCCAATGGTGCTTTCTCTTCCTTCCTTTACATCTTCCTCATTAACATCAAAATCTCCAATGGTTTTGTAACTGCTTGCCATTTTACATACACAGCCTCCATCATTTCTAGCCTCAAACTTCACCTCATAAGTTATAGATTCAAGCTTGTCCCCTAATGGATCCCCTTCAATCATAGTATACTTGCAAATCAAATTCTCCTTATTAAGTACATCAATCTTTTGTTTCAGATATTTGAAGGGGCTAGCTGCATCACATAAAAAAATACATAAAATATTAATGTCAGCGTCAGACTGAAAACTAGGTCATCAAGACAATCGCCTTATATCTTAAGAGATCTACTTAATTTTAAAGTTATTATTAATAAAAATTTATATTATATAAATAATGATTAAATCAAATAACTTATTATCGATTAAAAAATATTAAACAAAATTAATTTTATTATTTTAATAATTTTACAAAAACACTATTATAGACCTTGGTTTTATGGTTGATTGATTACTAAGTGCTTACCTTCATTGAAGTTGACTTGTTCAATGCTTCCAGCTCCTCCATCTCCTTCAATTACATTCACATCTTTCACAAACTTTGGTAAGAGCTTTGGAATCAAATTTCTGGAGTCTATGATCAAAGCCGTGAACATGCGCGAAGGCGAGACAGACGAAGAGTACTCATTTGTAAAGGTTGTCACTCCCATGATTAATGTTTTTAGATTGAAGAAATAATAAGGATCAAGATTCTGAATGATATGGATCAAAAGGGAGAAATTATGATGTTTTATAGATCAAGCAGTCTTTGATATGAAGTTTCTTGGAAGTTATCTTGGATAGAGTTTAATGAATTTTGAATTGAAGTTGAGAATGAGACATAAATGGACATGTGTTTTGTTGTTAGCATTGTTCAAAGATTGAATTTTTATTTTATTTTTAATTTGAAGACTTTCAATGATTGTGGCTGCTGGTTGTATTTTTGTTTCAAAACTTAGGTTAATTATTCATTATTCAAATTTATATGCCCCACATATAGTTGGCAACTGGTAGAATAAGGTTATTTTCCAAGATCATTATAGACTTCGATACATTGAATTCATATTTCATAGTTTAGAATCAGAATGGTTTCTTACCTACCTCGTGTACATGTAATTTCTCATCAAAGGTTGAATATTTTGAGTCTTTATTTACATTGGTTTATTATTTTTTTGAGTAATGTGAAAATGACCGGTGGCAAAGAAACATTTTACTCAATAATAGGTTTGCATAAAAAGTCAATGTTCAACTTAAAACGCATCAAAAGAGTTCATTTGTTCCACAAAAATGGTTAAGGAGATTGTTTTATACAAATTTTAAGGAAATTCTAAAATAAATAAAAAATACTATGATTCCACAAGTCTTGTTTGTATGAAATTCAAAAATAGTAACTAAATTGTATTTGTATCGAAAAATACATATTTTAAAGTCAAATCTAGTTACACTTTAAAATTTGAGGTAAGTTCTAACAGATTTCGTCTTATTTTGAACCTTAGCTTTCATATAGTAAAATTTAGGATCATTTAAGACTTTTTGATTTAAAAATTTGACATCTTAAATAAATCTTAGTCTTTGGTTCAGAACTTTAGACTTTGATGTCTTAGGTTCTGATTTCTTGAGAATCTTTAACTTTAGAATTTTTGGTTATAGTTTTTTCCAGAACTTTTGACTTTGAAGTCTCAGGTTATGATTTCTTTAGAACCTTTAACTTTACAATTATAGGTTCTGACTGGTTCAGAACCTTTCCTTTGTTAGCAGCAGGTACAAAATATGCATCTAACTCTTTCTGAGCAGAGCTTGAAAAAGAAGGATCTATTGGTTTAATCATGAATTAAAAGGTTTTTAAGAATAACCAAGACCCTCTCCTTTGCTCTTATTTACACCATAAATCATGGATGCAAGTTTTGTTCTGTTAAAGCCAGTTATGGTAAACTCCTGAAGAACTATTTCACGCTCATCAAAAGGTTTATCAGACATTTCTTTTACTGAGCGATGTAATTTTTTTTCTAAAGCTTCACTTTTATTTTCAGAAGATTTTAACTCAAAATTATATTATTTTTTTAAGATTTTCACATGTCTGGCTTTTTCTTGACAAAAAACCCATAAGGTCTTGAACAAGAGTAATTAAACTAGCACAAGATAATTTAGAGAATACATTATCTTCCTCTTTGGACTCTGATCCAGAATCTGAGTCGGATTCTGTGTCTGAGATGTAAGAGCCATCAAAGTTAGATTGACTTGTTCTTCATCTTTGTCCGAGTCTTCTTCATTGTCAAGTTCATCCTATGTTGTCACGAGACTCTTTTTGAATTTGTTTCTGAAGCCATCTTTTTGATAGCTTCCTTTCTTTAACTTGTCCTTCTGCAACTCTGGATAGTCAGCAATAAAGTGACCAAATTTCTTGTACTTAAAACATCCCTTATGGTCATCTTTGTTTTCTCTAGAACATGATCATCTGAAGCCACTGTTTCTTCAAGAGAATATTTTGTTCTTCTTAGCCAGATACTATAATCTTTTGATTATGAAAGTCATTCCATCATCACCTGAATCTTTTTTAGAAACTTTTGCATGAGCAACTTCTTCAGATTCCCAGACTTTCAAAGATTTGGCAGATTTACCAACAAATTTTAAAGAAAGAGACTTTAATTTCTTGGCAGGTTTATCTCCATTGAGTTCCATCTCATGACTTTGGAGATTGCTTATTAGACTTTCAAGACTTATTGTGTTTAAGTCTCTGACTTCTTCAATAACTGTCACTTTTTGTTTGTATCTACCAGAAAGACTCCTAAGGATCTTTTTGACATGATCAAAATTTGTATAGTCTTTGTTCAGAACTTGACGATTAGATACTAGAACTTGAAAATATGGTTTCAATATCTTCATATTCTTTCATTATGAACAACTCATACTGTTGGACCAAAAGGTTAACATTTGTCTCTTTTACTTGATAATTTCCTTCATATGTAGCACATAAGGATTCAAAGATGGTTTTAACATTAGATTTGTTGATAATTTTGAGATACTCAGAATGGGGTAGAACATCTACCAGAATGCCATGCACTTTGTGATGTTTTCGATAGGTTTTCTTTTGAGCAAGTGTTAGACATTTTTTGTCAGTTGCCATTCCTACTTCATTAACTGAAATATTAATGACATATTCAAGAATTTACCATAACTCATCATCAAGACTTATGATGTGATTGTACATCTTACTCTTCCACCATTCGAACTCTGTAGAGTCCCCACTGAATGTTAGAGGTCTAGCTGTATTGTTAATCTTTTCAGAGGTACTATAATCATAGTTTACAACACTAGTGTTTCTAGGACTAGAGGTTTCAAACATATCAATCATGTTTTTCTCTCCGAATCTTTGATGTACCACGATTAAGTGTTAAAAGCACAGATCATGCTCTAATATCAAATAAAGGTGAGAAAAACACAAGAAGGGGGTGAATTGTGTTAGCTTTCTCTTTCTTTTATGGAAATCTCTTATCAGATTGTGAACACAAGGTCTAAAACCTGAATCAGATTTAAATATTTAACAAAAGATTAAAACAGTTCAGAGGTAGAGAGGAAAGAAAGAGATACAAAAGCAGTTATCCTGGTTCCTTCCACAAATTAAGAGTAGTTCAGTCCCATTACATTTCTTAGGAATTTCACTATAATCAAAACTGATTATAATTGCTCAAACACACAAGCAAGAGACTTCCAAATGCTCAAACACACAAGTAAGATACTTTAAATGCTCAAGTACAGAAGCAAGAGACTTCAGATGTTCAAACACACATGCAAGAAACTTCTTAAATTATAACTTACAGTTAACAAATTGTTAGCAACTACACTTGATATACAATCAGAGGTGTAGACAAAATACAACACAAAAAACTCTAAAACTTAATAATTTCAAAGATGTACAAGTGTTTAAGAAGTTATAAATTAGACTTGTGTTTTTTGTTTGATAGAGCAACAACTCTTTTAATTTCAAAATTGTTCGTTACAGATTCTTCAAGTCTTCAACTCCTTATATAGAGAGGAAAAAATGTCGTTGAAGAGTTTTCACAAGAGAGTCTTTGAGAAGCTTGATTCAGAGACGTTGAAATATTTTTTTTTTGATATGGTTAATACCATTGAAAGCTCATTTGGAATTCCTTTGCTACAAAAGGAATTTTGCGTTGCATCCCAGTTGTCTCCTGCAGATTTTTGCTTAAATCTTCACGTGATCAAAAAAAGACAAAATATCCTCAAAGTCTGATAGTGACCTATCAGAACCTCATCGATCCTCGTGCTGACTGAATCTTTAAAGTCTAAATCTCTAGAGCCTGGATCTTTATAGGGTGACTCTTCAGAGTCCAATCTTTAGAAGCTGACTTCATTCAGAGTCTGAGTCTGGTCTTGCGCTTCTGATCTTTTAGAATCTGAATCTTTAGCTTATCTTTAAATGTCCATTCTTAGTACTAGTACTATGCTCTCTTCAGAAATTTTAGTCTATGATCCTGCACACTTGAATAATATTTGTTATTATATCATATTATTATTTAAATATTTGTTATCACTCAAACCTTAGAGATATGATACAAACCAATTTCTTTTTCCAACAAAGGCGACTAGTTATTTCTCAAGTAATAAAGTAACTAGTTATTTCTCAAATAACGGTTATACCTTTTCCTAATGCTCTTACTAAACCACCAACTACGGTTATTCCGCAAAAACCGAATAAGGTGCATCTATCTAATAATGGATGACTTTTGACAACTTCAGAGTCTTTCTGCCTCGCCGAGTAAAAAAGATTACATTCATCACGCCTGCATAAGCCTATGGGCTTTAGTAAGCCACTTTTCAATTGTGGCATATCATTTCAAAAAGTTCAAGGCATATCACCGTCAATACACTGTCGAAAAAAGATCAGTAGGATGATATATAAATATACCACAATAAGGATATTTTTGTACGTCTAGGCAATAACTCTACTATGTCAAATAGTCTCCAATTGTGATTTACGGTTCCGAGTTATATTCAACTGCGATGGCGACTATCTAATAAGAATGAAGAATATGAAAGGAATGGAAAGAGATGATCGGCGGGTCAATGAATTTGTTGGGTTTGAGTTTGGTTTTACCTAAAACCCAAAATTTTTAATGGGTTTTTCAGTTTTTAAACCCATGCCTCTTGAAGGAGAACTTTGCCGCTTAATATATATATATATATATATATATATATATATATATATATATATATATATATATATATATATATATATATATATATATATATATATATATATATATATATATATATATATATATATATATATATATATATATATATATATAATAAACTTAATTGCAACTTTGATTCTCCTGCTCTCCTTTTTTTTAAGTTTTGGTTCTTCAATTTAGAGAATTATGTGAATCAAATCCCTAATCATGGACAATGAGACCCGCTTCTTACCACTTGGCTACCATAATATATTTGTTAAATAATTGTAACATAAATATATATAATTTCAATGTAGATAATTCTTCTAGCAACATTCAAAGAAACATAGAAGATTTTGTAATATTTGTCTTATAATTCATATAGCATAATAAAATGACCTCGTCCAATCTGAATATTTTGCAGCTGCAACGTTCCTCCCATATTATCCTCACACATAGTCATATTGAGTTCCTCCAAATTTCTAGTAACAAGAGTGTTGATGATAACTCCTCAGAATCAACCCTCTATTTCAATGCAATTGGCAAGACTTTCTCCCATGAATCATTAACAAGCATCTTTAATGCATGCTGCCAAATTGGAAAATTTGGTGACAATGACAACAAACTTGCCGCATTATCAGATTTAAATAAAAATTATTTTGCGAAATTTGAGAGAATTCGTATAGATTCTAAAAGTCTTTTGATGTATCTTTCTTAAAACATGAAGCATTATCGTGAGTCTGTGATGTTGTATAAGTTTTAAATATGCTAACAAGTTATATCAAGCTTTCTAGAGTTAGAGCAAATTGGGCCCAAATATCGGGCTAGTCTTACCTACAACCCGAACCCGTCACTCTAAGCCCAACAAATCACCTTAACAAAAACCCGCCTCTCACCTTTTTCACTCTCTCCGTGCTTCAACCTTGAATCTCAGAAACCCTAGAAAAAATGGCGAGTTTTCTCACCACTCTTTCTCATCGTTTCTTTCATTCCTATTTCCGACTCTTCTCACTCTAACACTATTGTTTTTTTTTTTTGGAACTTTTTTGCAGCCTTTCAAGAGGTTCGTCGAGATTGGGAGGGTTGCTCTGATCAACTACGGAAAAGACTATGGTAGACTCGTTGTCATCGTCGATGTCATCGACCAGACCAGAGTATGCACATTTATATATCAATTTCTCTCTTTACTTTTTTCTCAGTTAGATCCATGTGGTGTTATTGTTTTATTTTTATTTTTATTTTTTTTCAATTTTCATTGTCAAAAAGTTAGGGTTTTATGGGTGAATTTAGGTTTTCTACCGCTACTTGTTTTGATTTGTTGTCTGTGTTGAATTTAATGAAGTTTTTTTTTAGCAATTTAGTAGTCTACATATAGTTTGATTTGATATCTTAATGATATTAAACTTCATTGAGAAAGATTTTGTTGTGTGCATTTTTAGGGTTAGGCTTTAGAATTTGTTCTGATTGATGGAACCGGATGGAGTGAAGGGTATGGGAAGGAATGAAATGGTGTTCCATTGTTTGGATAATTTTTAATTGCATGGCGTGGAGCATAATGTTTCATTGTTTGGATCATTTAAAATTTTAAATTGGATGGAAGAGAGCGGAATGAAGTGGTTCCATGCATTCCATCCCTTACCACTATATTTCTTTCCCTCTGATTTGGGTGGACTGGAGAGCTTGCCTTGTTTTGTCTTAAGATTTTCCAACAATGCAATGGAATCTCAATTTCGCTCTTCTCCATTCTGCTTCATTCCACTCTGCTCCTTTCCATTCTGCTCAGTTCATTTAATGATATCCAAACATAGCCTTAGTGAGTTTTTGAAATCTCTTAACTACAAGGTCATAGTGACTTTGGTGCTTCGAAGTAATTGAAACCTTACTCACATTTTTATTGAGTTGTAAATTTGATTTTGAAGGAATATAGAATAATTTATGTACCTTATGTTCAAACAGGCTCTTGTTGATGCTCCTGATATGGAGAGGTCCCCTATAAATTTCAAGAGGCTTTCACTCACTGATCTCAAGATTGATATTAAGAGGGTTCCCAAGAAGAAGGATCTCATCAAAGCTTTGGAGGCTGCTGGTTGGTACTACTTTTAAAGAAGAATCTGAATTTGCTGTTGTATTCTTTTGTTAATGATTTGTTTTGTTCTTAAACAGATGTTAAGAACAAGTGGGCAAAGAGCTCATGGGGCAGAAAACTGATTGTGAAGAAGACTAGAGCAGCACTCAACGATTTTGATAGGTTCAAGATAATGTTGGCAAAGATCAAGGTTTGTTTCAATTTACACACCTATGTATTTTTTCCTTCTTGTTTCTGATAATATTGTTGAGTGGCTTGTATGGGGTTGAATTAAGTTATTAAGTTGAAATTATTCATTTTTGGCTTATGCAGAGGGCAGCTGGTGTTAGGCAAGAGCTTGCTAAGCTGAAGAAGACTGCAGCTTAGGCATTAGTTAGTGATCTATTTTTTAATATTGCAATGATTTTCTTTTGATAATAGTACTCCCCCGTTTGTTTTACGAGATTTTATGTCATCATTGAGAGCTCATATTAGTGGATGATGTTCAGTACTTGCCAAGTTTTTCTTTTGCTTGCGGTTGATTGCATATTTTGGTTTTAAGATGTTCGAAGACTAATAGAAATCTCAAACTGCATATGATGGCAACTGCTGTTTTTTTGCAATTGTATTTTTGTCACATCTAGAATAGATTTTCTTATCATTATATGATGGTTTAAATCCTCTAATAAGTTCATTAGTGTAACATACGTTGGGTCTGTCTCTCTAAGTTACACTAGTATAACATACGTTGGGTATAGTTGAGTGTCAAATTGTTTTAGATAAAATGTCTCAAATTGTGTTGTTGCAAAACGTAACATGCCTTTAATATAATAAGTTATCTCGACCCACTTGGTTATGTTCTCTTAATCTAAGAAGTGATCTAGACCCACTTGGTTATATTCACTTTGAATTGGGATCTAGACCCACTTGGTTATGCTTTATTAACTTCGTTTTTGCAATTCTAATTATTTTAATCTACAAATCGCAGTTTAAAAGTAAACATGTAGTAAAAAATTTGAGATACTACACTGATTAGAGATAGACTTGTAACAAGGAAGCGGGTTAAAAAAATAAAATAAAAATACAAGTCTGTTTAAAATTTATGTGGAACAATTTTCATTTCTTAAAATTAAATTTGTTATACGAAAATTTGAAATTTTGTAAGTAGCATGATTTTTGATTTTTTTAGACAGTCTGACCTCTATTAATTTTATAATTTAATTGAATTATTTGATTTAATTAGATTTAATCAGTTTGATCAATGATTGTTTGATGGTTGATTCGGTTCTTTAAGACATTGATTGTAATCAATTTAAAGTGTTTAATTAACTTTTATACCGTCCCTAAAAAAGAATATAGAATTCCTTAATAAACAGAAGCATAAAGAAATTATTATTAAGAGGTATACAAACATTGAATAAGCTCTTACAAACTTTTTTTCACAATGCACATTTGAAATGATAATGCTTTAACTATTGGAACATAAAGCAATACAACAAACACAGAACACCCCAGAGAAACAGAAAACGGATCTCATTAATTAACAACAACACAAACATAACTAGTTGCCATCTTAGTTGTAATCAGGATTAGCCAAAAGAAAACCCTCAATAGCCTTGGTGAAACCATCAGATCTCTGAATTCCACCTTCCAAATAATCTTCACTAACTTCAGCATCACCTTTACTATAATACTTAGTTGTTGATTTCACAATGCATCCTCCCTCAGGGGTTGGAACAAATTTGTATTCAAAACATATCTTTCTCTAGAGGTTGATCTGACAAAGCAATACCTTCATATACACTATAACTGTAAACATAGTTTTCTTCGTCAACCACATCTACATGCTGCTTAGTAGACCCAAGACCTACAGAAGAAAAATACTTTTACATAAATGTTGGTCCATAGTTCGACCTTTGACACTAACATTTATTTATATTTATATGTTAATGTAAACAAATGGGTGGTATTTATAAATTAACAACTTTTTTTAAAAAACAATATTTTATTACCTCCAACAAAAGTAATCTTCATGATGGTTCCAGGGCCTCCATCTCCTTCGAGAGTTTCAGCTCTCTCGATGAACTGTGGTAAAGCTTTCGAGTAGACGGTGTTTCCATCTTCCACAATAGCTTTGTATAGTATTCCAATGGGGACTGAAGAAACATACTCGCTTTCTGAAGTGAAAACACCCATGATGATGATTAAGGATTAGACAATGTATGCTCTTTGTTTTGGTGTGGATTAATATGTGTATATATGCATTCATTTATAGGAGATGAAAATGGTTACTGTGAACTTCCCTCTAGAACACGAAAGTTTATTTAATTTGTTTCAATTTTCAACTTCACGTTGATGATTTGTTTAATATTTATTTGTCAAATGAATGAATTAATCTAGGTTTTTGCTTATGGCCTTATTAGATATTAAGCTAAAAGAAAAAGTCCCCACTCACATGTTGAACATTAACCTTTATGATATATATATAACTTAAAAAAGTATTTTTTTTTACCTCGGATGCGAAATACATAATACCTCAGTTAAAGAAAAGAGATAACGAAGGCGAGATGAAAACTCACCACTTATCACGATGAAATTACAATGAGAGATAAAGTTATATGCACATGAGTTCGAACCCCAACAACAACACTTTTATTATTTTCAAAACTAACATATCTTATATCTTAGTTTATCTTGAAAATTGAGGGATAGGATTATTATTATTTAAAATTGTTACATTGTTTATCCTGAAGATTACATTGTTTACACATAGTATTAAAAGAAAAATCAAATTTTTTAGAGATCTAAATAAAAATCAATTTTCATGAAGATCTAGATTTTAGATCTTCGAATTATTGAATCATGAAGAATATCAAATGTTGGATGTAAGATTATTCTCTACGGGTCTTGCATGCATTTGATTCTTAAGTAAAACAAAATAAGAGTTAGATGAATAAAATCAATATTCAAATTTATTATTTTGTGCGCAAATAAATACTTAAGAAAACAAACCTTAAACTCAAGTAATTTTCCGCTCTTACAATTTGTCTTAGATAACTTTTTCAAACGTCTTTATGTTTCAAGCGCTTCATGTTCCATATAAGTTAGATTTTCAATATTCAGCTTGCTTTTATAATGAATGTCCCTTAGGTTTCACGTGGATCACTAATGACAGATTCTTGAGCGTTGATAAACATTAAATGGATGATAAAGATTTGTTTAAGGTGTTGAATATAGTTAAAAAAACGCTTAACTATCCCCTCAGTCACGAAGAAGGGTGAATAAACAATTTTTATTTATTTATTAAAATTACATTGCTTACATAGAATATCAAAAATACGTTGTAAAATCTGTTTTCCAATGAAAATTTTTATATTCCATGTCCAGGTCCCATTCAAGATGTTAGAGATCTATTTCCCAATGAGAATTTTTATTTTCTGCATTTATAATCTATCCAAAGATCTGTAGTAGCAACTCATGATCAAATGCACAATGGTGAACATTTTTTCTCTTTGGGGTGACTACATATAAGTTAGTCTTGAGATAAAGTTTGTTTAATGAGTGTTTTTTATAGTAAAATATGATTATTAAACACCTCTATTTTATTATAAAACCGATATTTTTTTTATCTTCTCCTTTTAAATATCATCTCGGTGATGACGAAGACCGAGGTGAATAATTCTTTTTTTTTTGAAATTACATTGTTTACACAAAATATTAAAATAAATTCTTTACAACGAATCTATGCTTTTATTACCGAATATCTTCACTGATATCCAGATTTAGTTGCATTCCCTTCTTTGTTCAAAGGTTAAACTACTTTTCTTGTTGGTTAAGTCTCATTCTTACAATTTGTCTTAGATAACTTTTTCAAACGTCTTTATGTTTCAAGCACTTCATGTTCCATATAAGTTAGATTTTCAATATTCAGCTTGCTTTTATAATGAATGTCCCTTAGGTTTCACGTGGATCACTAATGACAGATTCTTGAGCGTTGATAAACATTAAATGGATGATAAAGATTTGTTTAAGGTGTTGAATATAGTTAAAAAAACGCTTAACTATCCCCTCAGTCACGAAGAAGGGTGAATAAACAGTTTTTATTTATTTATTAAAATTACATTGCTTACATAGAATATCAAAAATACGTTGTAAAATCTGTTTTCCAATGAAAATTTTTATATTCCATGTCCAGGTCCCATTCAAGATGTTAGAGATCTATTTCCCAATGAGAATTTTTATTTTCTGCATTTATAATCTATCCAAAGATCTGTAGTAGCAACTCATGATCAAATGCACAATGGTGAACATTTTTTCTCTTTGGGGTGACTACATATAAGTTAGTCTTGAGATAAAGTTTGTTTAATGAGTGTTTTTTTATAGTAAAATATGATTATTAAACACCTCTATTTTATTATAAAACCAATATTTTTTTTATCTTCTCCTTTTAAATATCATCTCGGTGATGACGAAGACCGAGGTGAATAATTCTTTTTTTTTTGAAATTACATTGTTTACACAAAATATTAAAATAAATTCTTTACAACGAATCTATGCTTTTATTACCGAATATCTTCACTGATATCCAGATTTAGTTGCATTCCCTTCTTTATTCAAAGGTTAAACTACTTTTCTTGTTGGTTAAGACCCATTCTTTGTGTAACTTGAAGCAGTAATGATTTTACGCACTTACAATCTATCAACTGGGTACTCTTCAAATGTTGAACTGCTTTCTTTAACTGAGGATTATTAAAAAAATATAACAATGAAAACATCAACACCATTATGTTGGAATGAATAGCAAGGGGAAACATGTTTTGTTCAAGATAGAAGAACATTAAAGATTTTTTCTGTCTTGCAATCCATCGCAAAGAGTGATGTTTGCGAGTTTGCGACGACTTCATATTAGGAAGGATTATGGTAAAATATGTTTAACGAGTGCTTTTATAGTAAAATCTTATTATATGTGTATGTATATATGTATGTATATATCAATATTTTAAAAAGCAGACCGAAGATAGAACCGGTGAAACATTCAGTTAAGATTCAATTGGTTCAACCGGTTAAATCTACGGTCTAACCATTTATTAAATAAACTAATAATATGAAACTAAATTCCATAGATATTTCACACATGATCATATGTTCACAACTTAATAACATAAATATTTCAAAAATCTATTACAAACTTAATACAACAATATCAATAAGACACATAATAACACAAGATAGTTGTACATTTAATTTCAACATTCATTTAATAATAATTTGAATAAATTAAAGAATTACAATAAAATTAATTAAACTAATCCAAACCAACATTAAAATAATAGATCTTAATAAATAAAATAAAAGTAAAATAATATAAAATTACAAAAAATAAATAA